AGCCGCTCCGTAGGCTGAGTCGAAGAGGGACTGGTCGTCGCTCACCACCGACAGAGCCTCCTGCGTGGGGAAGACAGGAGAAGCCGAGCATCAGTCTCCGCCCCGCCATGGCACTCTGCGGGCCAGCGGGGGCCGTGCTGCTCCGGGACTGCACATGGGCTTGGAGGGTCTCTGCAGGTCCTAGGGGCGAATCTGGAACCCACAGAAGTAGGAGCATTGTCTGGATCTGTCGGCTGCGGTCCCCAACGGGGAGGGTGGGGAACAGTGACTGTGGGGGTGGAACACACTGGTGGGTGGGTCACGGCCCCTGAGCTCTTCCAGGCATGAGCTGAAAGGCAAGTTGCCAGAAGAGAGCCAGCTGCCTTGCACAGGTGAGGCCAGTGGGCCTGCCCATAGGTCACGTCTAGCTCGGGGCCACACAGGGCGGGGCAGGGTCAGCTCGAGTCCCCAAATGCACACAGGTGGGAAGAGCTCACTGCTGGCCCAGGGTCTAGCTTGGAGAGCGTGCAGCCATTTGCTGAGGGGTGTCCAGGAAGCCTGATGTTCCCACCACCAAAGAACCCAGAGGAACGTCAGCTGCTTGCAGGGGCAGGCAGAGTGAGACCCTTTGTGAGAGGCCGTGGGTACCGCACTGTGTGACCCCCCACTCGACCCGGGAGGTAGGGGGTTGACAGGATCCCGGCTCTTCCCAGAGAGCTACAGCAGAGGCCGACGGCGCGATTCCCGGTCCCCAGTCACGTGAAAGTGGGTGCGGGTTCACACAGCCTGGAGTTACAGCAGATCCCACTTCTCACGTGCCAGGAAAGATGGTAACCATCCAGAGCTATCGACAACTGCTAGCTGCTCTGTGACCCACGTAGCCTGTCAGTGTAAAGGTCGTGGAGTGGGAAAGCCCGGAGGGGTGTCTGCACACAGAAAGTGCCACTCGCGCACTGTGGCCGCGATGAACATTCACGCTCCAACACAAGCTCTCAGGTCACCCGAGTTATGTCCCAGATTGGCATGGTACAGCCCTGACCCAGCACCTCCTAACGTGGAGCCGTTAAAGGGCTGATTCGGCTTGCAGGAGGCCACTAGGGTGGGCCCTACCCGTCTGACCGACGTCCTTGCAGGAAGGAGATTAGTGGACGCGCTGACACCAGGGGCACTTGGGCACAGAGGAGAGACCACACGAGGACACCGAGAGATGTAACTGTCTGCAAGCCAGAGAGAGGCCTCAGGAAGTGCTCCTATGGATCCCCTCGCCCTGGACTCCTAGCCTCTAGGACTGGGAGCAAAGAAATTCTTCTGCATAGGCCACCCAGGCTGTGGCGGGTCACTGAGGCAGCCCCAGAGACAGCTGCACTGCTGGTACTTAAAGGTGCACCAACGACAAGGACCACCTCTCAAATCCGTGGTCTGACGGTGTCCTGTGTGTAACTCACAACCCTGTTCTGAATATCCTACAAAGCACATGGCCCTGCCCGCCGTGAGACTGTACCTGCCCACCCTGCTGTCACCTCCTCCCAGCAGGACAGCCGAGCAGCCTTCCTGGCTGGGGTGGGGAGGACGCAAGTACTCCTGGAGCTCTCCTCCCCCAGAAGGCTCCCAGGGTGCACTCGGGCTGACCAACACACACAGCAGTCAAAGGCTTGCGCTCCAACCCAGGGCCTCTCGTTCACACGAAAGACGGCTGGGGGTCCTCCTTTGAGGCCCACGGGTGCTTATGCATGCCGGAGCCACCGTCTGCAGGCTACTCTGGTCATCCTCTGTCAGAGCTAGGAACAGCTGTGGCTTCAGCTCCCAGGTGAGGTTCCAACAGTTACCCACGTACAAGCTCTTCTGATTCCAAGTTGGAAAGCATGACGTCACCTGTCAGAGGGCCAACCCTGAGCTGTCCCGAGGTGGAGGACGCATGACCCCGAGGACCCAGAGTGCCTTCTTAGTGACAAAGCTGAGAGCATTAGCCTCGAGGATGCTCCGAGTACGTCTAGGGACCTGGCCGTTGCTGTGCCTCCGTATCTGCGATGGGCGGTGACAGGGCACCTTCTGTAGACCCCCTGGGGGCAGCCATGGCGACGGAGGCAGGAACAGAGCAGGAGGATGCAAACAGGGACCTCACTGGGGACCCACGAACCACGGGGGGTACTTCGTTGGCTTCCTGGCCCATACTCTCGGCTTGCTCCACGTGTGAAGGGCGATCCCCTGGGTGGCACAGAGTTTGTGCCGACATTCCGACTCTTTTTTGAAGTTTGAATTGGAAACTCTGACTTGCTCTTTCTGCTCTGCACTGGGATGAGCACACAGCTGTTTCCAGGAACTTTCTACTGTGAATTGTTGACGAGTATTTAACTTCGGGATGATAAACTGGGTATAGAAAGACAGCAGCATGCTGACCCAGCAGCTGTTCTGAGACTAAATTCCTTCCGCTCAAAACGACTTTGCCTCTACTGTGAACTGGGGACTCTGAGGACTGCATTCAGGGCAAGGTAAGTTGTGTGTTATTTGAGAATGATTTAACTTATTTATCACTATGATGTTTGCTTTGCTGCAGGGAACACACACGAGAGAGAGAGAATGAGAGAGTCAGAAAGCAAGCCACCAGGTCTGGGACTTGAACTGTTGGCAGCCATGTGGGAGTCTAGTGCCCTAGCACCACGCCAATAACAAATTTTTGTTATTTGTGTTTTAGATTTTTCTGAAGGGCACATATGCTTGCTGGAGAGGAAGAGTGAGAGAGAGGGAGACAGGGAAAGAAGGAAGCACTTCCTGGGGGATGGCCACGCCGCATCCCTTCTTCATTCTTCTCTCAGGGTTTGGACAGTGCACGCACAGGTGCCTCGCATATTTCTCAAACCACCAGGTCTGGGACTCGAACCACACAGTTAGCCATGGGGGATCCAGCTAACTTAATCACCAAGATACCATCTGGCCCATTAGTTTTTTTTTTTTTTTCAAGAGGTTTTTGCCATAGGGCGCGTGTGCTTGCCAGAAAGACAGAGAGAGACAGAGAGACAGAAACCAAGAAATCATCCCCCAGGAGGGATGGCCACGCCGCAATCCTTCTCCTCCATCCTCCTCTCGGGATCTTGGGCACGCATGCACACACCCCCGGAGTGGGTTTAAGCCACCAGGTCCGGGACTTGAACCGCCGTCGGCTACAAGGGAGTTCAGCAACATAGCCATTATGCTAACTGCTGGTCCCTGGCCCATTTGTCTTTAAAAGACTTGTTGAGGGGGCTGGATGGCGTCACTGAGGCATGGAGACCCTGTCGGGAAGATCTTTCTTTCTCTCTCTGTCTCTCTTGCTCATAGAAGAAATAAGAAAATAAATAAATAAAAGACTGGCTGAGTCATATTGCTATAGATCATGCCTCTTGGAGTTTGTCTTTCAACTGAGGAAGGCAAGGGTGTGGGCTCGCGGGCCCTGCGGTGCCAGCTCTGAGCTTTACGCGCTCCGACGTTGTTGCTGGGAAAGGAAGCCCTAAGCGGCTCCGTACCTGGATTCGGAGGAGCCCTTCCCTTTGCTGAGCGCAAGGCAAGGTGAAAGACCAGGGCACTCTGCCCTCTTGGCCGCTCAGTCCAAGACCTGTAGGCCGGCTTACAGTCCCCTGCTCCTATCACATTAGCACCCAAAGGCCCAGCAAGGGGAGTGCTCTGCTGGCAGCTTGCATTCTGAGCTAAAGCATGGGACCCCACTTTGCCCACGGGTATGCTTCCTTCCCGTGATTCTCTGCTGGTCCCGAGGGCCAGCCACCATGCAGCTGTCCTGGTGTGGACTCTTCCTAGCCAGGTTGGGTAAGATGCCGTTAGCACATCAGCTGGAATACGCTCTGTCTTGTCGCCACCGAAGCAAACGGATAGAAGCAGGAGACAGCGAACAGGGCCCTCAGTGCGCCAGAAGCCTGTTGGCTTTGCAGGAGCCGTCTCCTCTCCTCCTCGCACTGCCGCCCCCTCTTCTCAGGTGAGGAAATGGGTGTGGAACAGCTGGCTTAGTTGCACAGCAAGTAAGTGTTTTCTGGTTCTTTCTCGTGAATTTTCTGTTCCCCCAATTACACCATAAGCAATCGGAGAGTAAGCCTTGTGTTACCGCAGCTCTGAGCACGCTCTTCGGAGCCGGGCCCACCAGCTGTCTTTGTGCGCCTGGTATAATTTAGACTCCATGAACTTCATCTCCTCATCCATAGAACGGAGGTAATAGCAGGATCCAACTGGTAGATTTGGGGTCAAGATAGAACGAGATAATGAAGTGAGTGCCTGAGTCAAGTTCCCAAAGTTCTTGGTGCACAATAAATAACTCACCAATTCCCAAAGCTTTAAAGGAAGGCCCAGGCCGAGAAATGATGTAGAAACCATCGGATTGAAGACGGGTGGCAGGGAGTTCAGATAAAGCCGGAGAAATCTCCTTCTTTCACGCTCATTAAGCTTCCAAACTAGCAGGTTTGGCGATAGCAGATTCCAAAATGCAAGTGCCGTGGGCTTCTAGAGGACAACCGGTTTCACTCACCTGTTTCTAGTCTTCCACAGACTCTGTCCCACTGCAGCGCCGACCCTCTCCTCCCTGGCTCCAGCACTCAGGCCTCCACTAAGCGGCCTCGTGCACGGAGAGCAGGTGTCTACTGCCGGGGTCATGAAAACAGAAGCAGGTGGCCAGCACCTGTCGATGCGGCTGTCTGTCCTGCAGCCACTTAGCAAGCATCGCACGATGCCACTGTGTGTCTCCAAGTTCACCAAGAGAAACTGCCCTGGTTTTGGAATGACATGCACATGCGTGGACATAAATACGCTCATAGAGGACGGGCTTTGAAAGGCCATGGGAAGTGGACTTAAAATGTGAGTTTATGTTGGTGCAGAACGTTTTGAAATTTTTCATAATTTACATGTTCCATGAAGTTTGGGGACCTCCTCGTGTAGACGTCTTAGTTCACTTTCTTTTTGTACTGGAGACCCGCTTCTGACACTGTCCTCAGGTTAAGTCAGAGGCAGAGCCCTCTGCCCCTCGGCTGACGCTCGGGAGCTGTGGCCGGAGCACAGCCATGCCACCGGCTGGGTGGGCCATGACCAGGCCTCTGCTGTGACGG